TTACCTCCTCCTGTTTTGCATTAGGGATAGGACAACTTTAATCTTGTACAAACAAGACTGCAAGTCAGTACTTGCGCACAGCATTTAATATGATAAATCCTTCAACAGAATTGAGATGAACTGCACTACACTCATTCTATCTGGGTTTGTCTCTATATGCATGCCCACATTCACATAACGCAGCATTCCAACACTGTTTTAAATCTTTAAAAATGTTTTACTCAAATCATAATGAGGGTCTACAGATCAAATTAGTTTGATGCAGATGAGCCACCCCAAAAATGAATTGAGTGTCAAATGGTTAAAGATATGAAGATAAGATTTATATGCAAGGCTCGCTGCTGCTGTCTTATCCATTTTGTCAGGTTTTTAAGGAGCAGGTGGATACAAAAATGCAGAAGCAAAAAGTGTAACAAAAAGTGTCCTTTAATTAAGGCAAGGTCGACGGAAAAAAACACACACAAATAAGCACTGGAAAGTAAGAAAAGGACTCCAAAAGGTTAAACTGAAAAAACATAGAAACAATAGCAAAACACAAAGAGCTCACGAGTGAAGGTGATGACATGAGACGGCCATGTAAGACAAAGGGAAGCACAGAGACTTATATACACAGGGAGGCAGGGCTAATTGGACACACAGGTGCAGACTATCACAAGGGCGGGAAACAGGACAAAGACAGGAAGTAAAGGTGGAAACACAAGAGGAGCAAAAAGTACAAAATAAAACAGGAAACACAGACTCACAGAGAACACAAATCCAACACAAACCTGAAACACAAGGAAAACAGGAAAAGTAATAAAGAGTCAAAGATCAAAACTAAAATAGTCTTCATAAAAGGAGTCAAAGTCCAGAGTCATCACACATTTTTGGTTATTTAAATGCAAATGCCTCTATTGAAAGATTACATGGTACTCTGGAAAAAGGGACAGTTTCTCTTTGTCTTATGATACTTTTTCAAATTCCATTAGAAGTAGATGAACTCAGAAATGTCAGTCATCCATCATGAAGGCTGTTGTTCTTCCCAAAAAACAAAATTGGCATTAAGATTAGGGGAGCAGGAGGAATGCTGCTCAGTGTTCATTGGCTCAATACTTCGCAGTTAAGTGCTGAGGAGGTCTACAATATTGTGCATTCGCTCACATGTGACTTTCACCTGCTGAGGGATGATGGGGAGAAGCAGCCACTGTGACGGTGAGAGATAAAGGACACGTGCTGTTGCCGGAGTTTACATCTGTGTCATAACAACGCACAGAGGTTCCATGTAAACTATATTTACAGTCTACAGAAAATAATACTATGGGGTAGGAAACAATATGACTGCAGCCAGTTTTACGCTTCAACACCACATGCTATACTTGACATATACTGTGCAATTGTTACCAGGTTTTTGTGACAAACCTGCATGGCTATGTTAGCTAAACTCAACCCCTACATCATCACCACCTGTCAGGTCTTACGTGTTCATTTGAAATGATTGTGGCTTGATACCATCTTACAGTGCCAGAGATGGTGAATCAGGCAAATGGATAGTGACAATTCAGGATTAATATGGGAAGGTGAGCCAGCAGTTTACCCTTCTGTCACAGTTGTGCAGAGTTTTGACAAAGATTGATTGGGACTGCAGATGAGCAGCAACATTAAGGTGAGTGCATTGTCAACCATCAGCAGTGTGATGGCATGCGTTTACTCCACAATGTAATTTCACTGTCAAGAAGGAGGCTGAGGATCAACCAAAGAGAAGAAGGTCAGAAGGCCAAACTTGACAAGAAATGCTGTAGTTAAGGGCCAAGATCTGCATTAAGGCTTTCCCACCGTGACTGAGCAGTCTAATGCAATGGGCTATCCACTATTTGTTCTAGTAATACCGATGGCAAGTCTGGCCATGGTTGAGAGAACTAAAGAGGGTTGAAAGTTCATGAAGACAGAGACATGAGTAACATTTAATTAGCAATGTTTGACAGAGCGAAGGTCATTATCCATTAGCTAATGTTGTTAATAGCAAATCGCAATGAATGTAATTGCAGACAGACATTTTTCAAAATGTCTAGTCTGTCACTTTTAGTGTGATGCTAGTTGTTAAAGCTGAAGAGTTGTCAGTAACTTGTCCACAGCTGGTGTGCTAGCTCTGGAAAACAATCTCATCCTCTATTACAGCTGCAACAGTAGTTAGTAATTTTCTCATTATTTGTCCTTAGTATGTACGACATACAAAATGTTTTATACACCTAAACACACAATTGTGCTCGCACAGTTGGAGTATTTGGATTGATACATAACTGGAAATGCTTGGGTAATGTTACCTTCCTTGGTGGCTTATCTACAAGTATATAATATATCTCTTTATTCCACCAGTGAGGGGTGGCTCTTCATCACTCTTTCTCCAGAATTGCTTGCTTTTCATTTAACAGGTGGTACTATTGTGATTACAGACACATTTCATTGTTAAATTCATTAAAGGATGTTTTTGCTCTTACTTCCAAACAATCTTTTCCTCAGGTGACCAATTACTGTGATGTTTTTTTGTTGGGAAGGACTCTGAGCTATTAGCAGAGAAAGCACAACTGAAGAAGATGAAAATGCTCTGCAGATGTCAGCAAGACACTCAGTTCAGCATGATTCATTGACGTCTTTTCTCTCTTTCTCTCTCTCCACAGGGCTCTGCCAGCCCTGTAGGCTTTCTGTGAGGGAAAAAAGAGCAAGGTGTTGCTATCGGCTGCCTGTTTGACAGACTCATTGTTGGCTTAAATAATATACTTTTCACTCTAACTGATTTTTTTGGCTTTAGGTCCTGTAATGCAGGGTCTGCAATGGCATGCCGATCATGCATGCCTCAAATAAAAGGTTTGTGGATATAATTCTACATTTAAGGGAAACTAGACTTTTTAATGGAGATTCTAATCACACAGTTCCTTGAAAACATTATTATAGCTGTGGGACTACAACATACAAATTGGGTGATTGCTGTTTCTTTGTCTTTCTTTTCTACAGGTTTCACTTTCTGCAGGTGCACATACTTATTCCATTCATTCGATGCCTGCTCCGATATATATTTTATATTAATGACACTGTTAAAGATGAAAAGATACCTTGTAGAACCAAACAGAATTTGAACACCACTCAGCATAGCATCAAAGCTCCAAAAATAAAACTGCAAGGACCCATCTTTGCACAAAGTAAGAGACACTGTACATTAGACAGAATTCTGTACAAGCCTGTCTTTTGTGAAAAGCCACTGAAGAGGCCAGGTAGAAATGCATCAATAATTCAGTCTGAGATATCTTATATTTGACCTCATACAAAAATTCATTCCCTTGTATTGAACCAAGTTCAAAGAAAGATGACAAAAGATACTGGAAAGAAAGACGGTGGGTGGATACAAAACAGCTCTCATTCTTCTCCGCTGCGTCCTCACATATTGATTGATGAGGTTACAGCCAGCCTTTGGGTTTAAAAATGGAAATCTGATAAAACACCTTGCAATAAAGATTCTACACAGCTGCTGACTTTGTGTTAGATTTCCTTGCTTCTTATTTTTTAATGAAAAGAAGAACATTTATAGATTGACAACTGTCCTTGACTGTCACTGAATAGTTATAAAACCACAAACCAAAAGAGTAATAGTCCCAACAAGCCTTTAAAATATATTCTAATTTCAAAAGCAACTCATAAACTGTGTTTTCTATTGAAGGTAATTGACTGCAATATAACACGTAAAAAGTGAATTTTGGAAAAGGTAGAATATGCTGTGTTTCTTCTGCTATCATTTGTATTACTTTTGAATCAGTTTTGTAGGTCTCTAATCAACACTTGCCCACAGGTCGACTGGTGGAAATCTTTTGAAAATAATTTGTTTTATTTTTTTTTTATGATACTAGGCATAGATTTAGTCATATAGGAGTTGGATGAAACACCTCAAAAAATGACAGCCAAGCTTTCAGTCTCAACAAACACATTTTGAGCTTTACCATGTTTGGATCTACAGCAGGATTACGGTTCCGTCTTGTGCGTGTTTCTTTTTAGTCTGCCTGCTGGGGGAGAAAGAAAGACTCAGGGACGTGAGTCTGCTTCACCAAAATCCAATGAACAATTGTACAAGCAGGACTGTGCTGGACATGTAATGAGATAGACTGTGTCACAGTAGGCACAAAGGAAATCGATTTGCCTCATGGGACAACTGGAATAAGAATATTTCACATTTCATTGTGTGAGAATGTCTGCATTATACATCTTCAGCTGTGATAAGGAGGTGTTGTGATGGCCTTCTATCAGTGCTGTGGTTTTTTTCCGCTGTTTGGGAAAGGTTCTACTTTTGTCCCTGGTATAAGCTCAGCTGTCTGTGCAGAGGCTGCTGTTGTTGACTCTGTGCACACAATGTCATCTGCAATTTTCATAAAAGTTTTCATAATGACAAACAAAAAAACATCTCTCACATTGTCGCTCCACAGGAAGCTGGCTCAATTTGTATTCATGCTCTCAGTGTTGCTATGAATTGTGAGGGTATATGTTTAGATATTTAATCTAAATAAGGACAGTCAGGTTGCTTTGTATCATATTCCAGTTTATTCCGGTGTGCCACCAGGGGCAGGCACAGGGCCAGGATATGAGCAATAAATATGACAATTTGTTAATTTTCAAATTATATTCAAGGATGAGTGGCTTTGCTCAAAGCTATAGTGCTAACATTAAACTAGCGTTTACTTAAATGTGCACATTACTGAAACAGGAGTTGCATTTGGCTCCTCTGTGTAAATTTCCTGCCCTTGATGGGGGGATTCTGAAAAATTCTAGAGCTATAACTGTTTAACACCATTATCATACCAATTTACAGAGAAAAATTAGCTTTTACAGCACAGTTTGATTAAGCAGAACAAAACGGCTCTGTGAAAGCAACCTTTTGACCTTGTAAGAAATCAAACGTTGAATCTTTTAAAATACATTTTTATTATGTAGAAACCAAAAGACAAATCCTGCAATATTTACATTATAATGGTTGTTACAAACTGATGCTAGTTAATTCCACCAACAATTCTGGTTCAGACAGTGGAAATTGTTATTTCCTAGTGTTTTGACAAATAGGTAGAAAAAAACATGAAACATTAACATCAAGGAAAACAATGCTATGGTAAAAAAAAAAGTTTTATAAAAGACCTGCAGCGGCATTTAAAAGGAACCTCTTTAGACAAATCCACCCACCCTCGCCCACTAACACATACGAATAATGACTATGCAGTTTCAGTAAGATTCATTTAGGTCAAATTCTAATTTGCAACAGGGTCCACAAAACAACAACTGTACTTCACAGTGAAAATTTGTTCTATTATCATATTTACACAAAACACAGACAGAACACACAAAGCGTAAAGAAAAAATAAATCATAAATACAAACGCTGTTTTTAATCCATAGTTAGTTGCCGCTATGTGATGCACAGTTTCAGCCTCTTTTGTGAGAATTCATATTAACTCTTACTAACCACTTCTGATAAGGTTAGCAACTTATAATTATCTCTAAAGGGTTGATGTGGAGACAGTTAGGTGTTGTTCAGTTTTTCCACACTTAATCACTTTCATCTTAATGTTGTACAATCCGTAAAATGTGGATCTCTAACTGACATTCTCCCCTCTGTTGTAGACCACATATCAATCTGACACTTCACATTATTTCCCTTAATGTCTTAAATTAAGTCCATCAACATATTGTTTTGTGTCAGAACACAATTATAACCCCTTAGCAGTGGATCTCATAGGCAACCTGTGATCCGAAGAGGAGACTCTGACTGAGGAAGAGCTCCTCCGGGTCCGTTGTCAGGGGTCCCTCGCCTCCGTCTGCTGGGTTTCTGCTTAGCCCCATTCCACCTGATCTGGTAAGTGTCTGCACCATTTCGTGGTCCAGCAGCACTTCCTTCATACCTTTCTGCTGGACGAACCCGCTCATCATGGGACACCTGGATGAAGTGGACCCCAAAACAGGCTTAGCCCGGTTGAGGACATACATCTCATGACCATGGTCATCGCGGTACTCCTCCAGCTGAGCAAATGTTGTGGGTCCATCAGAGTAGTCGTTCACATAAAGGATGCTCTCTTCCTTACTCGTACAGTAGGAACCCCCTTCCTCTTTCTGGTACTGCTGGTGGCGAGTGTAGATCATAATCAGGAGGAGAACAGCAGTGAGTGCCAGCAAGGAGATGCCAATCGCAATTGCGGTTTGTGTGGCGGGGCCCAGAGCACTAAAATCCATGCTGTCCTGCTCATACAGCGGCTCCTGACTCACATCCAGAACATCTGGTTGATAGAGGGAGTTAGACGAAGAGGAAACAAAGGAGTGTGAGTTCAAACGAGGCCAGAATTGGGTTGAATATGAAGAAGAGGACATGTTGACAGCTAGGTGAAAGGTAACTCTTGCTACTCCACCCGGGTTCCAGGCCTCACACTCATAGCGTCCAGCGTGAGCTACAGTCACATTGCTGAGAAACAACATGCCACTGCCCATGTCCGGGTCAAAGCTGTCCCTCTCTCCACCCTCCTCAGTTCCCCGCACAAGCCCATGGATCCCACCAACACCTCCCACCTTAATCCCTACGCCACTGGGCAGGGCAGTTACCACTCCTCCAGCTCCAGGCCTGAAGAGCTCACCGTTGGGTCCCAGCTCTTGAACCAGGCCTCGGGGGGATAACTGGGCCTTGCCATGGGACGCTTTCTTCCAGGTCACCTGAGGCTGAGGGTATCCTGAGGCCTGGCAGGAGACTCTGAGGCTCTCCCCTAGTCGCACAGTCAGGTGACTAGGTTCCAGCTGAACCACAGGGGGGATGCAAACAAGGCTGTTGGGAGCCACCTCCACCAGGCTGAGGTGGGAGAGGCGAGGTGGTTCCGAACACATCAGCTGACGCTGCTCAGCAGAGCTCAGCAGTCGCTGACCGTCTTCGCTGATCCATGTTCTTAGCCAAGCAAGAGCGCAATCACAGCGCCATGGATTCTCTGGAGGAGAAGAATGGAGTCAAACAAGGGAAGAATTTATTTTTCAATCTAATCTTTAAGAATATTTCAGAGGTGCTTTTCTTTCTCATTCAAGGTCTACTTTTGGAAGAAACACACTGATATGTAAAATATGTGTAAGTGCAGGTAATTTTCCATGACATCACTCAATGGGTTGTGTTTGAATTTCAATGCTCTGACAGTCTTGGGCACTGTCAGTTCTTCAGAATTGTGGTGCGGAAGCATTAAATTCAATCTTAGAGGATTATTTCATATTACAATAAGGCATAATGTGCTGAAGGAATTCTGTCCTACCTGTGACACGCAGCACCTGCAGGCTAACAAGCGGTTTGAGGGACGATGCTCCCAGGGTGCGGAGGTGATTTCTGCTGAGGTCCAGCAGAGCCAGAGATGACAAGCCAGACAGGGCTTGCTCTGCCAGCAGCTCAATGCTGTTTTCCTGCAGGTGAAGTTCCTGCAGACGCTGCAGATAGGAAAAAGACACGGCAGCAGAGGAGGGAAATGTGAAAGATACAAGTTAAAGAGGAGGAAAAGAAATGTCATATACGAAAAGAGGAGTGACTCAATTCCTCCTGACTCAGTCCAGTGTTTTCATGACACTGCAGTGGCGATCGCAATTACACTCTTCTGCAGACCACTTTTAATTGGAAATGACAGATACAAGAAGTGGAGTCTCATTGCAAGTAAGTACATCCAGCTGCTGCTGCAGCTCAAGGCCAGAGGAAGAGAGAGGGGAAGAAGAGAAAGAGACAGTAAGTTAGATGTAACTGACTTTAAATAGATGTTTTTTAACCTACTGATATCCAGTCCAACTGCAGACTATCATTACTGCCAAGATGGTTATACAGGCCATTGGATGTACCAGAAGATGTACTGGTGACACAATGTTGACCCCCACCCACCCCTGTGGAAACATTGCAGTCTGTACTGTAGGGATTAGTCAGACATGCTGTCATGAATTGGTTTTACAGTTGCAGACGTCCTGCTTTATAATCCACAAAAAGCCGTCCCATATTGGAATTGCTTTGGCTTTGCTCACAAAATCTAAGCCTTTTTTTTGCTTTACCAAGGATTAGGGTGAAGATGTTGAAATGCTTAACCCAAAATTGTGCATTAATTCTTGCCATCAAGACACCTGTCCCTTTATCTCAGTTCACATGCACCAACCTGCAGTCCCCTGAAGGTGTGGTCCTGGACTCGAGTGATCTGATTGCCTGCAAGGTAGAGGATCCGAAGGTGCTCCAGACCCCGGAACATGTCGGGGGTGACCAGGTGGATGAGGTTACCGTTGAGGGCCAGCTCCAGAAGCTGCCCCTGGCTAAGAAAGGCTCCGGGCTCCAGTGCTGAGATGCTGTTGTTCTGGAGGTACAGGTAATGGAGGCTGCCCAGACGAGTCAAGTCCTGAAGACGGATCTGCACTATAGCGTTGTCCTGGAGGAAGATGGTCTTCAGGGGAGGGATGGGGAATTAAATTAGTGGCACAGTCACAAATTGATTGCATTAGGAAAACAGAGGAAAGGATGTGACGTTTGATTTGTGGAAGAACATGAACATGGCTGTATAGTGATGAGAGATACAAAAATTTATTATTTAAAACTATGTGCACATGCAGGGCTGTGGACATTTGTTAATGCAGGTAATATGAACAATGTGGTATGACGATGGTTGGGATGATGATGATGATGATGGCAATGACAAAGTTGTCTGTGCAGCATTTTTCCTGTTTTGTGGTTCGGTCGTCTTACCAAATGCTGCAGCAATAGCCTGTCAACATCTTCAAACCCAAAAAAGGTTTAAGCAATTGGAGCTACATAAGAAGTGATTTCAGTCTTTTATCCACAATGCACAGCTGTCTCAGAAATGTGCATTCATTGGTGATCTTTTAAAAGAAGCTCACACTAGCCATGAGGTAAAGTATGATGGAAGAGATAGACCTACTGAATGAGGTTAATGGAGCAATTTATGTGATACATGCTTCCCATTAATATTCATAGGCTGCAGTAATGTTGGGGGGCCTGTACCCAAGAGGAAAAGACGGTGTGATGTTTAACATCTTCTCAACAGATGATCAGAGGGACGTGCGAGAGTCATTTTCTGAGCGAGAATAAATAATTACACAGCCGACGGCACAGCTCCTCCCTCAGGCTTACATCAAAGAGGGTCACAGCGAATTGATTAAACACAAAAATTTTAGGGTAATAAGAGCGGATCAAAGAGGAAGTCAACTGATACAAAATCACTGATGTGGAGAGAGCAGGGGGTCAGCTGCAGTGCACTGGCAGCTAGTGCGCTAACTCATTGTCGATCGGCTGACTGACCTCTGTGAAAGAAGGGACACCCTGAGGGATTTCTTTGATCCCCAGAGATCCACACTCCACTGTGAGGCTGTAGCAGCGACAGCCGGGGGGGCACGCCAGACACGCTTGAGGGACGAGAGCGAGTACGAGCAGGATGAGTCTGGGGGACCACAGGGGGACCATCGTGGTTTCACAGCAGACCGTCACAGACAAAAACCTGAGGAGAGAAGGTAGAGGCAGAGATGAAAAGTGAGCATCAATGACTCATCACAGTTTAAACAACCAACCGTCTCTCCTTGTGGTAATATATGTCATCATCAAAGCAAAAATGACAGTCGCTGCAAATATGTTGTTTATGCAGATGACTGTGGAATGGCATGGGAGGACTGACAAAAGAACATAAGAGTATCTCCTCATCCCTGCCTGTTTTCCATTCAGCTGTGTCTATTCAGTGGAATTGCAGCAGCTTCTATTATGGGCTTCAATTAATTAAAGATGTGATAAAAGATGCGCAGGTTGCCTCAAGGAGCTCTCTCTTGTCTCGTTAATGCATGCAAAAACACACACTCTCTATTTCTGTCTGTGTCTTTGTCTTAAAAAGTCACACACACACGGCAAATAGACACAGGCTCTGTTTTGACCCCTGTAATCTCAGAAACCACATTTACCTCCTCAAATCTCAAGTGGTAACCAGCCCTAATCCTTCTGATCCAAATGCATCAACGTTGGCTGCTTGCTGCACCTCACAGCAATATAAACCACCACCAAGCAACTCAGCCATGCACTTTTTTTCTTTTTAATTTCTGGAAGGGATTTATTGTTCCGCTCGACTGTCTACATCAAAGCAACCACAGACCAACACGCGGTCCAGCACCATGTAGCACCGCAGTGTTCACAATAGCTGAGCAGCAGCAGATCACATGAAGATACCGCAGGGCTGAAGAAACAATACATGTTGAAATGTCACACTGAGCTTTTCATTCTGCATCAGTGACAGCAGGTAGATTTATTGCTCTTTGCTGAGCCCCCTGCCTCATTCTAGAGAATCCTCATCCTGCAGAGAGGCAGGCGTCTCATTGATCCAAGTCTCACATTGTTAAAAAACATTCTTGCACACCCCAGCCATGTTTCTGTGTCCCATTAAGCTTGTCTGACTGGTGAAATTTCTTGTTTGCTTAAGACTGAGGAATCACCCAGACAGATAATTGATAGCATTTATATCAGGCTCTAAATGATTCGGAGATCATCTAGTTTATTAATTATGAGAATGCACACAGAGCTCATTACAGCTCGGTGATGAAAGGGTTCCAATGCCTGAAATAAACTGTGACTGTTAAATATTCAGTTTGCAGGGTGTTTGAACTGCTCTGTCAGATTAATATCAAATGGGCCTCATTTGTAGTGCTGTAATCCGGGGATAGTATTCACAAACATTCTGGGAGTACTCTCAGAAGACTCCCAATTTATAGCCTCAACATTTCTAGCATGAGTCCTAGTTTTGGAGGGATTTAAGAAAGTTCTCAAAGCATTGAGTAACGCTAAGACGCATGAAGTATATGATAATAACAATATGGATGTTGTTGGAAATGAGATAAATGCTTATTTTTACATTGTGATCACATGTTTCAGATATTTTTGCACATTACTTAATCTTATGCTAATCATTAACCTGCCAAGTAATCTGACGGAATACACCTAATCAATAGCAAGCAGGCTTCTGCTTTTCAGATCAATAGCGCAGAGGTTTCCTATTATTCATCTGTTCACTGTGGTGGCCCGTCATATTCTAATTTGTCCTGCCACAGTTATAATGAAGCAAAACTTGTTTTATGCTTCTCACATTATAAGAGATCTCTAACTTGGTGCGTGCAGCAGTGTTCACTGCATGCTTACTTGCATTGTCGCGCTACAACGAGCTAGCACGTGTTCAAGCTATGGTCCATGATGTTTTAGCGTCCACCCAGTCTGTCGAATCCACTGCAGCTGTGGCATGCAGGGAAGTTCTTTATCGTACGTGATAACTCATCGTTCACTCTATAGTCTTTGTACCTGTCACTCAGGTTAATTCAATCTACGTGCACACCGCCATAGATTGAAGTAATTCTGTGGGAAACTCAGACAACACCAGGGGGAAAATGGCTCTGCTTTCCTCAATTTCTGTGATTGCTGGCCAGTCTACATCAGCAGCGGCTGGTTGGTTGGCATGTAAATCTACCATAAACCATGGCACAGACAAACAGCGATGGGAGCGAGTGAAGGAACCAGAAAGTGGGCAGACGAACGATGTTCACTGTTATCTCAATTTGCTGACGAGTGTAAAACCCATTCAAGAGAATAATTCAGCCCCCATAGTTACAGCACAGAGGCAGATGTGGGAGAATACAGCACACTATATAAATACCTTACTCCCTCTGGTTGTGTGCACCATGTGAAGAATGCCCATAGGTGTGTTCCTTAACACCTGATTTTCTCTTTTCTCTCTCTCTCCCCCTTACTCTTCTTTCAGCCCATGGTGGAGGCATACGGCCGCTTACCTTGACTGCTGGAGGTTTCTTTGCGTTGAAAGAGTTTTATTTCCTCTTCACTATTACCAGGTACTTGCTCACCATGGGAGGTGTTGGATTTCTCTCTATAATATTCTTAGGTCCTTGTACAATGCTTAGAGGTGTGTTGTGATTTGGTGCTATACAAATAAAATTTAATTTTGCTGAATTGGATGTGTTGCAGTCTAAAATCTAGGGGGAAGCTTACAGCACATACACAAGGTTATCCACTTACAAGTAAGTGCCACACCACTTACTCACAACTGCTTACAAACATAATCTGCTCAAGTAATTTAATAACAGCATTTGTTTCACCCTTAAGGTGAAACAGTTTTTCACCTCAAGGGATGCTCTGCAAATAACTTTTATATTCACAAGGATCTAGCCTTACTTAGAATTTTGTCACCCATAGCAACTCTTTGTTCTAGGAAGCTTAGCGACTACGGTCCCAGACCAGAAAAGCACAAGGTCTAGTATTTCAGCCACATGGCATTGAACTGGATTTTAATATTACATGTTTGATTTAGAGCTCATTTATGGGGATATATCCAGCTAGATTAATACAAAGTGACCTACATAAGCTGTTCAATCTTCTTCTCTCAGCAAAAAAACACAGAGACACTTATTAACAAGAGCGCTGCCATTTCCTCTCTAGAGTTCTCCAAACAAGCGTGGAGAGAAATTATGTATTTCAATTGTTTGGGAGAGAAAGCACAAAAATTGAATTTTGAATAAGGCCTTGGTCTGTCATTGAGTTTTTGTAACTTCCACAGTGTGATGACTTCTAAATAGCTTTGGCTTTCTTGTAACATGTCAGGAGGGAAGTGGAGAGGAGGAATACACAGGATGCACTGCCCGATGTTTGTCGTTAGAATATGAGCTCGACATCAATGCAAATGACACCCTGCCAGGTAGAAGAAACAGCTTGCAACGCTTTCAGTGTGGTGAGATGCAGTGACAAGGATAACCTATGGAATTATCAGGGTACGCAAACAAAAAAGAGGACGAGGACAAACATTTTAAAAAACAGCCGGGCGGAGGTTTAAATAATGCTGCTGACTACAGCTCGTCTTACAATGCACTGTATGTTCTACTGTTTCAGAATCAACCTGCCCTCACTGTGCTTGATTCTCATCTTCTATCATGCTGATGCAGGATTCCAGGGGTAAGGGGTCAATTTGTTCATTTCAGTCCCGTAATCCTTTATGGAACATGCGTAATCTGCACAATCAGAAGCTTGTTAGCTAAGCCGCTCTCGGAGCTGTCAACATTTTCATGGAGGGGGAGCTGCTTTGTTTGCCATTAAAAAACGAGGTCAACTGTATATCTCTACCGACAGTGGGTGAAAATGTGTAAATAGGGTGATTGGGGCCTAATGTTGTTTACTTAGATACATAGAGTGTTAGAGGAGAGCGGCTGGGGCAGATGTCAGTCAGCACGTGTCAAAGGAAATCAAATAACCTGAACATCATACACACAACCTGTCCAGCATTGTTTACCCTCCATCTACCTCTGCAAACATCATTTTGCATGGGACTCCAGACTCGCTTGGAGTCTGTTTATTTGTGTATTTTAGAAATTAGAATTGTCTCTTTATTGTTGACATTGTGTTTTGTTTTCACACCCTAAACAAATCATCCACTGCTGAGCAATCACAGCCTGGCTGGCCAAACATTCACGGCACAGAGCATCCACTGCATAGAGCTGTTGTGATTTCATCTTATTTTTGCGAGGAGGGTGAGTAAGTGCATCAGATAGCCAGAGTGCTGCAGGCGGAGGCAAAGTTCACGTCCCTGAGCTGCCATCGGTGCAGGTCAGCCTCATTTGTTGTTATGGTAACCCTTGTGATGAGGGAAGGTCTGATCACGGAGCCTGAAGGCCAAGTGCAGCTCCTGTGAGAAGGTGTTAGGCAAACAGCTCCACTGAAATAGAAGCTGTCATTTCCCAGGGAAAATTGCTCACAGGGACTTGAGCTATGTGATGGCCCAGAGCTAAATCGTAAATTCTGTTTCAGTCCAACTCTCCCTTTCTCCCGCTTGAACTTTTTCCTCTCTCCGATTCTCTGTTTTCTCACTCTCCTGCTCTTTTCACAGTTTCTCTGAAAGCTTCCATCATTTTCCCATTCCCCATCTCTGACCTCTTTCTTTTCTCATCTCTCGTTCTTCTGCTTTGACGGACAGGTGCTAAATCATTTGTCTCAGAGCATCCCTTTGTCCACAAATAGACTGAGGCCAAGGCACTGAGAGAAGACCAGGGCACGAACCCAAGAGCAACACACTGACTTTGAGCGATAGTCTCGACCGTGCACACTAAAGCGCGTGCACACACTCATAGACATGCAGAGCACGCCTACAAAGTGGAACTTGTATGCGAGCGCTAGCCACAGACAATCAGGGATACAACACTTTGATTGGCAGATGCACACACAGGAAGACACACATGTGCTTATGCACTTGCACATCCTGCTTACAGCCGGCAGCCATCATCATTCACAGACACAGACCAAGTCAGATACAAGCAGGCAGCTATGTGCAGACAAACACACACAAACAAACACACACACACACATTTTTGTGTCAGCAGTAAAGGAAGCGCTGCTTGGTTAATAAGCCACCATTGATTTCTTTATTTTTTCCACCACTATTGTGTCCAGCTGGGCTCTGCTGCCATTGAT